AGTGAGCCCCGAGCACAGAGCCGGGAGTGAGCCCCGAGCACAGAGCCAGGAATGAGCCCCGAGCACAGAGCCGGGAGTGAGCCCTGAGCACATAACCAGGAGTCAGTCCCGAGCACAGAGCCAGGAGTCAGCCCCAAGCACAGAGCCAGGAGTCAGCCCTGAGCACGACTGTGGATGGAGGGAGGGAGAGAGAGGGGGAGAGAGAGAGAGAGAGAGAGAGAGAGAGAGAGAGAGAGAGAGAGAGAGAGAGAGAGAGAGAGAGAGAAGCCAGTGTCGCTTCCTGCCCCCGTTCCAGAAGTTTCCTGCAGGGCCCCGCCTGCGTGCAGCGGCGGGCACGCGCGGGCAGTTACCGGGTCGCGGGGCGTTGGCGCGCCCGGGAGGGGTCCGCGGGGTCCCTGGCGCTGGCGCGGCCGAGGGCGCCTGGAGGGGCAGTGGGCGCCGGCGGGGTCCCCGGCCGGTCCCAGGATGCAGCGCGCCCGAACGGCGGAGCCTGGAGCCTCGGCGGGACCCCGGGAAGGTGCGCAGGGGGCGCCTGGGGCCCGGAGCGGGCAGCCTGGCCGGGCCCACCGCCCATCGGGCCGGCGGGGTGGCGTGTCGCAGCCGCAGCCGCCCGCTGGGCCCTAGGCTTTGCGGCACGCAGGTGCCATCTTCTCGGTGATGGGGTGTGTTGGGGCCGGGCCCTCCCCCGGCAGCACCCCCAGGACACAGAGCCCAGACCTGCCCACGGTGGGGCGGTCCCAGGAGGCCCCGGACCCGTGTCCTGCAACCTACCACCCTCCTGGCCCCTTTTGAACGTGTCCCCTTCCCGGGGCCCCCAGTCCTATAGCTCAGTCCCTCTGCTTGCTGCCAATTTCATGTGAAACCCCGTTAGGATATGCCCAGACCCTGTAGGAGGCCCAACGCCCGCCCCCGCTTAAACAGGAGTTTGTTCCGGTGTAATTTATCTGTGCCATGACTTCTGACACTAAAAACGACCCTTTCTCTACCACCTAAAATCCAGTGCCATGGGCCAGAGTGCCCTAGGGACTTAAATCCTCAGTTTCAGGCGCTCAGCCCCTTTTCCCCCTGGAGCATCCCCAGTTTTTCTTTCATCCCAATCAAAAAAAAAAAAAGGCTTTGAACTCATGAGTAGGAGTTAAAAAAAATAAAATCCAAGTTGTCTGTGACACGGTAGAAAGGGAAACCTCTGTCCAGGAGGTCACTTTAGGCAAAGCAGAAAGCAGAGCTGTCCACACATTGTCCACTCATAGGGCGGGACGAGCCCCGGGATGCGGTCACACTGTGGTGTCAGACGTCCCCGGGCATAGAGCTCCAGCCAGTGCTGTGTGCCAGGTCACGACCAGAAATGTATTTGTAGGGATGGTGTTGCCAAAGGAAGTGGCCGGGTTTGGGCTGGGGTGAGTGTGTGACAGACAGGAGTTACGCCTTGCAGCAGGTCCTGAGCGAGCTGGTGTCCGCGCTCTGGAAGGCAGCTGGTGCTCCCGCCCTAGTTGGCTTCTCCTTTGCATTGACTTTGCATGGTATTCGCGTGGCATGTGTATGTGTCTGGGCGCCTGGTGATGGCAGGGAGGACGGGTCACCACTGACCTGGAAGGTGTGGCGCTTGCTTGATGGTCCTCTGTGCTTGCAAGTCTCCAGACCTCAGGGCTATGGCGAAAATAGATCAGGTTCCTCATTGACTTCAACCAGCGCCGTTTGGGACCCCTGGAGGCATGGCTGGAAATCAGCAATGAAGTTCAACGGGAAACTATTTGGGCATCTGTTCCAGGTCTCACGTGGCTACAAAATTACAGGACTTTGAGGGGCCGGAGTGATGTAACGTGGGGAGGGCGTTTGCCTTGCACTTACGTGGCCCACCGGGATTTGATTCCTGGCATCCCATATGGCCAGGGTCATTTTTCGTTTGTGTTGATTTAGTTTGGGGGCCACACCTGGTTGTGCTCAGGGATTACTCTTGGCTTTGTGCTCACTCCTGGTCTCGGAGGACCATATGCATATGCAGTGCCAGGATCCATCCCAGGTTGGCAGCCATGCAAAGCAAGAACCTTTTCAACCGAACTCTCTCCAGGTCCAACAAGCCAGATTTTGTTTTTGTTTGGGGACCACACCTGTCGGTGCTCAGGGCTTACTCCTGACCCTATGAGGTGCTGGGGGTCAAATGCTAGTTGGTCACGTGCAAGGTAAGCACCCCACCTGATGTACTATCAATCCAGCCCCCAGAATTTTTAAAAATTTTATTAAAGCACTGTAATTTACAAAGTCATTCATGTTGAGTTTTAGACTTTGCAGCACTGATCCCACCACCAGTGCCAACCTCCCTCCACTAATGTCCCCAGGTTCCCTCCCATAGCCCCCATGCCAGCCTGCCCTCTCAACCGGCACCTTTCTAATTTTGGTTTCTGAACTCTTGGTTTCAGTGTTGTTGACCCCGTGGTTTGGATATTTGGCTCCATCGTTCCTTAACACCACCTTTGTGCCCGGCTCCCCTGACCTGGCCTCTGTTGTTTCTCGCCTGTCTCTTCTCTTCTTCCCTCTACTCTTTCTTTCCTTCTCCTCCCTGCACCCCGGGCCAAGGCCGATCTGGGCATTCCCCCTTAAAACATTGCATTTCCTCATCCGGTTATTCTAAATATCACTTTGTAAGTGTTATCATTCGCTGTTTATCCTTCTTCTGGCTTACTTCATAATGTCTTATGAAGGCCCTTATGAAGGGGCTGGAGCGATAGCACAGCCGTAGGGCGTTCGCCTTACAAGCGGCCAACATGGCCGACCCGAGTTCGATTCCTCTGCCCCTCTCGGAGAGCCCGGCAAGCTACCGTAGATACCGCACGGCAGAGCCTGGCAAGCTCCCCGTGACGTATTCGATATGCCAAACACAGTAACAACAAAGTCTCCAATGGAGCCGTTACTGGGCCCGCTCGAGCAAATCGATGAACAACGGAGGACAGTGACAGTGACAGTGACTTCATAATGTCTTAACATGATGTCTCCCAGTTTCATCAATGTTGCTGCAAATTGCATGATTCCATCATTCTTTACAGCTACATATTATTTCATTGTGTGTGTATGTGTGTGTGTGTGTGTGTGTGTGTGTACCACATCTTCATGATCCACTTACCTGTTGTTGGATAGCAAGGTTGATCCCAACCTCAGCTATTGTACTGAGTGCTGCAATGAATAATACAATGAATCAATTCTGAGTTTGCCCAGTACCCTCCATATTGTTTTCCGTAGGGTTGGCCCAGACAGCATTTCCACAGTAGTGGAATACGGTTCCTTTATCACCCCATCCTGCCAACACAGATTATTCCCAGTGTTTTCGCTCTGTGCCATCTTCACTTGTATAAGATGACATCTCATAATTGTCTTGATTCATATTTCCCCAGTAATAACTGATGATGAGCGTTATTTTTTATATGTCTGTTGGCCATCCATTGGTCCTCCTTAGAGAAATGTCTGTTCATTTCCTCTCCCCATTTTTGGATGGGGTTTTAAAGATTTTTGTTGTTGTTGATGATGATCCTTGAGTACTTTATATATACACATATAAAGTATATATTTTTAATTAGTACTTTATATATATTTAATTTAAGAGTCAAGGAAATGTGGCTTACTGGCAGAACTCATACATGCCTTGGATGTGTGAGGTTGTGGGTTTGATTCCTCACACTGTTAAGATTTTAAACTAAAATTTGAAATCTATGCTCAAGGATTACTCCTGTGGGGTGCCAGGGATCCTTTGCCAGGAATTGAAGCCAGGTTGACTGTTTACAAGGGAGGCACCTCCTCGCTATTCTATCTCTCAGACCCTGAAGCTCTGACTCCTACGGAAATAATTGGTTTTCCATTTTGTATTTGGAGCTTGTGTTGGTTGAGTATTTGCTCGATTGTAATTTTAAATATTTAAATGAACGAATATTTCCGTTGTAGTTGTTGAACATGATTTCCCAGTGCCCAGTTTACGCTTGAATATTTCAGGCCAGGTATTTCCTTGTAAACGGGTTGGCATTCTATTTCGCAAACAGGCCTTTGCATGATAATGTGCTATTTTCACGTGAATCATACTTACTGGTTCCACAGCTGCCCAGGTGGGCAGAGCATCAATGGAGGAATGAAAGAATATTATAATTGGAAATTACTCACCTAAATGTTCAGCTGTAGTGTTATTATCCTAGTCAACTTTAATGTGTTTTAGACCTGGTTTCTCCTAAAAGAAACAAAGTTTGGGGCCAGAGCAATAGTACAGCAGACACTTGCACGGGCCGATCCAGGTTCGATCCCTGGGACCCCATGTGGTCCCCCAAGCCCATCAGGAATATTTGGCAGGCTTATTCCTGGAAGACTCAGAAACTCTGTTGGGACAGAGATAAGTGAATAGAAGTCATTCTAGCCAAGTTATGTTTTGTCTGAGTGTCTAATTTAAATCAGGATAATGGAAAAAAAATCAGGTTGATTTTTCAGTATTTGAAACCTCAGTAGAAGAAGCCAGTTTGGGAAATTTCCTTTGTCATTTTTGAGGGTTTTTTTTTTTTGTGGAAAGTAGGGGTTTGGGGCAGGGGTGACTACTGACTCAGCTCAAGGAACATGTATGTCCCAGGGCTGGGACTGGCTGTTTGCAGAGCTGGCTGTATGTCTGTGTGTGCATGCGTGTGTATGTCTGTGTGTGTATGATGTCTGTGTGCATGTGTGCGTATGTCTGTGTGCGTGTGTATCAATGTGTGTGTGTGCCTGTGTGTGCATGTGTGTGTTTGTGTGTGCGTGTGTGTGTGTGTGTGTCTAACCCTGGTGCTAGCTCTAATCCCCTTGGGCAGGCCCATCCTGCTCAGAGCTCTAGTGTCTTCAAGAAGGTTCCAGTTCTGCCCCTGCAGTGGGGCTCAGTTGAGCCAGCAAGCCACCGTGGGGATTGGGGAGCTGTTTTCCCAGCCTCAGCTGGAGCTCGATAATGTCAGGAGCTAGGAACTGGGGGCCAGGGCACTCACGGCACTGTCTCTCTTTTTCAGGCTCAATAAATAATTGTTGAAGGAATGAAAATACCATGGAAGGAGGAAGAGCAGCGACAGAAGGTACCCACAGCTGCAAGAGTGTGGGCAAGAGTGATGTTGATCCGTGACTAATGCTCGCTGCGGGGTGCCTGGGAACCGTGGCGTGTATTGGGTGGAGATGGAGGCCGGTGTGGGGGGCTGACAAGTGGGTCCAGGAGCCGCAGGTCAGGCTTGGTCACCCCCGTCCAGAGTGGAGGTACAGATGCGGCTGTTCCTGTTAGTCGCTCCCAGTCTTCACGGCAGGCTCTAGCCTTGTGGGGGTGGCTCCAGGCCTTTGCTTCTCACTGTCCCCACAGAAACTTCACTTTTCACGGACACGCAGTTTGACTGACATACCTGTCTGTGAGTTTACCTTTGATTTTGGAAACTGTGGGAACCTTAAGATGAGGAGAGGCCTGGAGGTGACTTCTGGCTACTGTGAGGCCGTGAGTTCGACACCCTCAGAGTGTCAAATATGCCCAGAATGGGTCCCTGTGGCTCTGCTTATGGGACGCCCCCGGATGTTGCAAGAGTGTGTCTGTGTGTCTGTGTGTGTATGTGTATCTGTGTGTATGCATATGTGTGGTCTGTATGTTTGTGTGTGCATGGGTTTGTATGTGTGTATGGGTCTGAGCATGTGTGTGCACATGTGTCTGCATGTATGCCTGTGTGAGTTTCTGTGCATGTGCATGTGCATATATCTGTGTTTATGTGTGCATGTCTGCATGTGTGTGTATCTGTGGTGTGTGCGTGTGTGCATGTGTGCACATGTATGCCTATGTGAGTGTCATATGTGTGCATGTGTGTCTATGTCTGTGCATGTCTGTGTGCATGTGTGCACGTGTGTGCCTATATGCATGTGCATATGTGTGCATGTGTGTGTGTGTGTGTTTGCGTGCACCCCTGCTACATATGGGACCCGTAGCCATGGCAGGAACATCAGGCACTCAGAGGAAATGCTGAGCTGACCCTTCCAGGAAGCAAAGTTTGATGAGAGTGATGGCTCCAGAAATGGAGTCAGTCGGGGTCTGTTTGTGTTCCGGAAGCTTCTCAGAAGGGAGTCTCGCCTTTGAAGAAAAGGCACATCACATTCAAGGTGTGCTCTAGAAAATCGGATGAGGCTGGAGCAGTTCTCTGTGAGGGGAGCCCCAGTGCTACCCTGAGCACTGCTGGGTGTGGCTCCAAGGCAGCCGCAGGAGCCCAGGGTCAGGGCTGGGGTTTCCCATAACCCACCTGGGATTCTCAGAAGCCCCTGACTGCCCTCCTGTGCTGCTGGCCCCCAGGCCCTGCCTGGCCGAGCTGCAGAGCTGGGCCTTGTCCTCTCTGTCCTGCGGGCCAGTGTCCACTTCTCTCTCCTTGCTGAGCCCCTCCCTGGGCCTCCGGACCTGCCTCATAGTCACAGGTTGTCCATGCCCCGACTTCCTCTTAAATATATGCAGTTAGCCAACAATGCCCCCATCACCTGAGCCATGTCCCTCCATGAATTCCCAGTGACCCAATCATCTGAGCCATGTCCTGTCACAAGCTCTCTGGACTGAAGAATTTGTCCCCTTTGCTCCTTGTCCCCCAACCATACACGCCCCCCTCCCCACATACACACCTGCTCCCCCACTCACCCAGCTTCCTCACTGCCTACTCATTCTCAAGGTATGATGGTCACTTTTTTTTTTTCAGTGCAGAGAGTCACTGAGATATTAAGACATGCACACGCAGCTTAGCTGTTCATTCATGAGAATTCTGAGTAGAAACGGATTTAATAGCCTCTTGCTCCTAAAATTGTCTCATAAAACAGGACAGTTAAATATCGCCTGGGCGCCATGGCACCCACGCACTCACCCGCTCCATAAAGCTTCCCAGGCTGCTCTCGGCAGTGGGCTGGGCACTGGCATGACAGTCCAAAGGTGCCAGGGAGGAAGAGAAGGGTCACAGCACCATCCTTAGAGTTCTAGGGGCAGTCGGACAGCGGGGAGGGTGCTGGCCTCTCACACAGCCGATCCTGACTCAATCCCTGGCATCCCATGTGGTCCCCTGGACCCCACCAGGAGTGACCCATGAGCCGCACCGGGTGACCCCGAAACAAAGAATCCACTTGTCTGGGTTTTTCCTGCCCTGAGTTGTGCGACGTCCTCTGGCCCTCTTCTCTCTCTGTGGTCCCTGGTGGTGTAGATCGGGCCACTGGCAGAGTGGACATGTGGACGTGTGGTCCCAGCCTCAGTGAGAAGGACACTGGGCTTGAGGGTGGGAGCAGGGGCACCCTGTGTTGCGTCGGTCCTTCCTGCTCAGCCTCTGGCATCTCCATGTCCTTGTTGATCCTCGTTGGCTTGATGTGGAGAGAAGGAACACAGGGGTTCGGGAATGAGCCTCCCCCGGTTACTCTCGGATCCATGTGGGGTGCTCACGGTGTGCAGTGCCCGGCCAGCTCCCAGGGCTCCTCACGGCAGGGAAGTGAAGTGGTTTCAACAGCATCTGTCGGGGGCTCTGGGGTCCAGGCCTCTTGGTACAGACACATGAACAGAGTTGGGATATGTGAGGGGCGGAAACTGCCTGTTCCCCTCTGGGAAGGAGCGGGGGGAGTCAAGGCCAGTCTGGAGGCAAGACGGCAGGGGACGGGAGAGACACAGGGAGACAGAGCTAAGAGGGGCAGAGCAAAGAGATCTCAGCTCACCAGGACTCAAGAGTTGGATCGTCGGGGCCCCCACAGCGAGTCTGCGGCGTCTGGTCAGGCAGGAGGGACAGCAGCTCATCTCAGCCCGGCCGCTAGCCCGGGGCGTCTGCTCCCCTGCCGGATGCATTTAAACATGCGATTGGCTGCAACCCGGTTGGCTCTGGGAGATCTCGTGGTGAGTGAAGTCAAGACAAATACGCGATGATCGCATTCACCTGTGGAACAGAGAATACATGGAGGAGGAAATGGAGTGTAGTAAAAGGGATGCTCAGATCGCCCTAGGCTGCAGTGTTTAGAGAGGAGATGGACAGAGAAGGAAACCAGCCAAGGGGGGAAGGAGCACTGCACGGTAGCACTGTTGTAACAACCCCCGTTGTTCAACGATTTGCTCGAGTGGGCACCAGTAACATCTCCATTGTGAGACTTGTTGCTGTTTTTGTCACATCAAACACATCGCAGGTAGCTTGCCAGGCTTTGCCATGCGGGCGGGATACTCTCAGTAGCTTGCTGGACTCTCCGAGAGGGGCGGAGGAATCAAACCCAGGTCGGCCTTATGCAAGGCAAACGCCCTCCGTGCTGAATGGAAGTAATGGGTGAACAGAACAGGCATCAGGCTTCGGTTATACCAGTGATGTGGGTGAGTGATGAGTGGCATAGCCATAGACCCCCAAAAAAGACTCAGCAAAGTGGAAAACACGAGATCTAAGCTGTGAACCACTGGACCTTTTAATGTGCCTGTCCGGTGACAGGTGGGGGTTGGGGCGAGGTTGGTGTGGGGAGGGAATCTGGGGACCCTCGTGGAGGGAAACTGATGCTGGTGGTGGGATTGGTGTTGCATATTACATGCCTCAACGCAACTAAAACAACTTTGCAAATCACAGTCCTTTAATAAAGAACGAAAGACAGAAAACCGAAAAGCCAAAACCGCACTGATGAAGGTTTCTGAGGCCGTAAAGTAGGGGAGACCCTGGCCGGCCAAGGACATGAGATCTTCATTCTCCCTGGAAGTCCCCCAGTCAAATGTTTGGCCTCACCCTTCCCACAAAAATGATAGATGGAGCCCTTGTGAAAGAGGAAGAGAGAGAAGAGAAAGAAAGGAAAGAGAGGGGAGAGACGGTTAGAGGGGGCAGGGTTGTGCATTTGCCTTGATGCGGCCGATCCTGGTTTGGACCCCGGCACACAGTGTCACTAGTGCTCACCGCTGAGCCCTGCCAGCTGTGGTCCCCAACTCCCCCGCACCCCGCAACGCCAAACGATCTTTTAAAAAAGAACGGAGCAAGAGAAAGGAAAAGCAAGACTCGATGGGGGAGTCAGGGGTGGAAGCACAGCCTTTAATCTTCCTCTGTGGGGCTGGATTCATCAGAGATGTTTGAAAGACGACAGGAATCAGACACTGGTGATGGCCTGTGAGGCTGTCTTCGCTCTGCTGCCACCGTTCACCTAGCGAGGAAGAGGAAGAAGAAGAGGAGGAAGGGGAGGAGGAGGAGGAGAAAGAAGAGGATGGAGAGGAGGAGGTAGAGGAGGAGGAGGTGGAGGAGGAGGAGAAATAGGAGAAAGAGGAGGAAGAAAGAAGAGGATGGAGAGAAGGAGGAGGAAGAGGAGGAGGAGAAAGAGAAGGAGGAGGAAGAAAGAAGAGGATGGAGAGGAGGAGGAAGAGGAGGGGAAAGGATGGAGAGGAGGAGGAGGAAGAAGAGGAGGAGAAGGAAGTGGAGGAAGAGAAAGAAGAGAATGGAGAGGAGGAGGAGGAAGAGGAGGAGAAAGAGAAGGAGGAGGAAGAAAGAAGAGGATGGAGAAGAGGAGGAGGAAGAGGAGGAGGAGGAAGTGGAGGAAGAGAAAGAAGAGGATGGAGAGAAGAAGGAGGAAGAGGAGGAGGAGGAAGAGGAGGAAGGTGCCCCTCTGCCATGCTGAGCGGGCGCCCATCAGGGCGGAGCCGCTCAGCGGCAGGAGTGCAGGCCTGGCTCTTGGGGTGTGTGTGTGGGCACATGCAGTGACTTGCCCCAGAGCTCTGCCTTGCCGGGGCACCTTCCAGCAACTGCTCGGCTTCGAGTCTTTCATCTCTGGGCGAGAGAGAGTGGGAAAGACCCAAACGGCGCCAACCTCTCCATCCAGCCCAGTCGGGAAGGGGCGCCTTGCGCAGAGGCTGCAGGGCTTCTCGGGCCACTCCACACGGGTCACTTCTGCGGGCCCACAGAGACAGAAACAGAGCACACTGCCCGGGCCAGCTCCATCAAGCCCTCTGGCCCCGCCTGGGGCCCGCCCACTCGCTCAATGGTTCCCAGAGCGGGGTTCTGCTCTTGGTGAGGAGCTAGGGTAACTGCAATTCCATGGCTGATGCGCCTGGCAGTGCCTGAGTTAGCAGAAAGCCCTGCTAGAAAGG